TTCTGTGGAGAAGAAGAGTGGATTTGGGGTGATAGCCAGAGTGGATGAATAAGTGTTTTTTTGGTTCTTGTTTTTGTTTTTAAGATGAGAGTTAACTGATTAGAGGGTCCTGTGTTAATGAGAAGGATCTAGTAGAAAAAGGAGAAATTGTTGATGCAGGAGAGAGTGGCAGGGATAATTAGGATCAAAATCGTTGAGAATTTGATGGAATTAGAGTTTGGAAGTCACAGGGGTGGCCTTTGCTTGGAATAAGGCACACTGTGCATTATGGTGTGAGGGAAGGCTGAGGGTCAGGGAAGAGATATATGCAGTTTGGCAGATACTGATAGTAGGCATTCCTATTGTTTATATTTTCTCTATGGAATACGAGCATCAGTTATTAGTTGAAGGTGGACAGTTAAAAACAGGAACAGGGTATCTAGAGCTTCTGCAGAGAAAAGAGAAAATGTGAAATGCTTGTTTTAGAGAGTGCTAGGGTGAACCTTCTAGGGAACTATAGCAAAAAACATTAAGTTCCTTTTTTTTTGTCTTTCAGTGCACAATTCTTTATTTTTTTTCTTTAAAAAATTTAAAATTACAGGTAGCAATTAATATTTTATATTAGCTTTAAATGTACATCATAGAGGTTAGACATTTATTTAGTTTATGCAGTGATCCCTCCCATATATCAGACAATATTAAGTTCTCATTTGAGGTTTGTGGTTATGAATTAAAATGAGGTCTTGACTCTATACTGCTTTGTGGACAATTGTTTTTATACAAATTCAGGACTGTTTTGTGTCACTCTGCAGCTGTGTCTGTGTGTTGATCTTGTATCTCCTCACTCCAAACAGGTTGAAAGCTCTTTAGGGCCAGGAATCATACTCCTTCCTCTTCTCCCTAGATTTCCTTACTTAGAAGCCTGTCTTTACCCATGTTTAGACTACAGGTCAGTTTCCACCTTTCATCTGAACTCCTAACCCATACTTATCACCAGTTGCTAAAACTGGGTATTTTACAAGTGCATTAGGGCCCAAGCAGAATTTCTATATCCTTTACCCTCAGTGTGGTGCTTCTTCGAATAAACCATCTCTCAATGCAAGATGCCATCTTCCATAAAGCCACCTGAGTGAAAACATCAGCATCAACTATAAGTTTCCTTTCCTCTACTCATTCATCTAATCCTGTCCATTTTGCTTATTTTTTCTCAAACATGTCCCTTCCATTCTGTGTTTTCTGCCATTGTCTTCGTTTAGCTCTTATTCTTTCCCAAGTTAGATCATGACCCTGAACAGCTTGCTGATCCCTGTGGTGAGCCTGGTTGACCTCAGTGGTGAGGATAGATGCTGGGACACAGAATTTTCGGAGGTATAATTCTGTAAGGCTTGAGACTGTCATAGGTCAGACCTCAGTGGACAGCTGGGATGATAATGTTTCCCTAGGCTGACAAGCCAGGGTCAACTGCTTTAAACTTCATCAAATTCAGACTGCTGTCTGCCTGGGTCCTAGCAATGTTTCCCGACATTGTAGAGTTAATGATGTTGTTCAGGGCAACTTTCTGTTTCCATAAATGTTTCAGATCCACATGAAAAGGAGACCCTCATATTTTCAATATATTTTTCTTTAGTAACTCTGGGCATCATCTATGAAACTATTCAGTTAAATCTAAAGTATAGTTGTTGTTGTTTTTTAAGTATGTCTCTATGTCATTTGCCATTAGCTGGGCAGATGTTTTGTTGAAAATGTATTTTGTCCTCTGTCTTGGTATATTGGATGCTTCATTTGCACAGTGCAAACTCATTCCAGAGACAAGCAGACTTTGAGAACAGTATTCAATATTCAATATTATTCAATAATATTCAGCTGTATTAATATACTCTAGGCCTCTTTGTGGAGAAAATTCTTTATCTTCTTCTCCCCTCACTTTTGTTTTTGACTATACTGGAATGAAGATTTATGGTCGAGAGAAAGGGTCAGAGCAAATAATCTCTTAAAAGTTAAAACACATATGTGTTTTGGTTTCTTTATCATGAATTGGTGACTTAATGATTTTACACCACATTTGGATGAGCTACATGTATGACTACAGGTGACTTTAAAAAATAATTGGATCTGCCTTCTAATTAATTACAAATATGAGGGCATTATAACAATTATTAAAAAATCAACACCATCCATTGTGGTTGGTGTCTTTGGCCTTTAATTGTTTCATAGTTAATACTTCTGTACTTCAGAAAAACATATTATATTTATAGGCTTTCATTTTCTAAGTAATATATTTTGGAAGTTTTAAAAGAAAGTTAAATTGTTCAAAGTTAAGTGCACTATTGTGTTGTACTGAGTTCTATTATCTTTAGCTGATAATAGGCATTACTCTTACCTGACTGAAGTCATGCCTTTATGATGTATTATTGTGCTACCTTTGTTAATCATTTATTAGTGAATTAAAGCAAAGCCTAAATTGCTTGTTGAAGGAAGTCTTGACCCTGTTTAGAATCATTTGCTTGCCTCATTTCTAGTGATTTTGTGTCTGACCTTCTGTTCAGGAGTAAATTCTCCTTCAGCTCTTCACAGAAGGATGTCAGTTCTGCTGCCTTTTTAACAGATCCTTCAACCACACTCCAAATACAGCGTAGAATAGCTGCCATTGTAGGATGAGATGGGTCACAAAATCCTTATCTTACTGTCTCTCAAAAACCTTAAGGGGCTAAGTACACAAAATATTGCCTGAGGACCATGATGTCTCTTCATTTGTAGACACTAGGAAAAATGACATGTCAATAATGATGGAGTCCTTACTGGATTCTGGGTTTCATTCTCAGTACTTTACTGTTAGCTCACCTAATCCTTATGGCAGCACTGGACATAGAGTTCTATTTGTTAGCTCCATATTACAGGTGAGAAAAGTGAGGCAAAGAGAGCTTTAGTTACTCACCCAAAGACACAGAGATAATACATGGTAGAGCCAGGATTTGAACCTGGAAATCTAGCTTCATGGTTGGGCTACTGGCCACCATGCTATCAACATTTCATTTCACCAATGGTAGAAGTGTACTGAGGAAAAATCCCTGAGAAACCAATAAAAATAATTCAGTGAAGGACACTGATAAAAAAATGAACAGATAAGTAGGAGAAACACCAGGGAGACATCCTGTTTCAAACAAAGAGTTTTAAGAAGGAAGGTGAGATCAAGAGTGTTCATGCCACAGAAATGTCATGGAAGAAAATAACTAGAAAATGTCTATTGGGCTTGAAGACATCTTCAACCTTAAGAAGAGGAGAACTCACAGACTAGGGGCAGGTAGGTAGAAGATAGATTGTGGTGTGCTGGGGAAAAATCAAGTGGTGAGGAACTGGAGAGCAAGCTCTGTTGTGGAAAATGACTTTTTCCTTTAGGGAAGTTTTAGGGTAGGAGTGAAATTTTAATTCATCATGGAGTTTGAGAAGAGAGTCCTACCTTGAGTGGTAGGGTGTCTAATCAGAATCTCAAGCCATTCGTGGTAAATGACCAGTTTGTTAAAAATTCCTAATTTGTTGTTGATCAAGACCCCAGCACTGGTCTATGGACCACACTTTGAAGGGTCCCTTCCATTTTCACGGTGAGCTGTGAATCACGACAGTCTTTGATCTTTTGACAAGCTGACTTTTACCTTTGCTCATCCATCCTTGTAGCTTTTCATAGTATAACTGAGTTTTTATCCCTTTTTGGTATGGTTTAGAACCTTGTTTTCAAAATTTATTCATCTCTTTAGCACTGTTTTCCTATGAAACATGCTAATTTTCTAACTTATAATTTATCTTTTTATTGTGACCCTTTTTTTTCTTTTTTACCTTTTTCTAGTGCTGAGCTGTGGGATTTATGGGGTGGGGTTAGGGTAATGAAGGATTTCACTTTTTTGAAAAAATATGTTTTTGTTTATGCTATTAAAGTCATGCCATTTTTTTCCCTGCTTTGTTTTCCTCCACCCAGCCTGTCCCCCATTCCCAGTCAATCCTCACACCATTGCCCATGTCCGTGGGTCACGCATGAATGTTTTTTGACTAATCCCTTTACCTTCTTTCAGCCAGCCCCATCTCCCCTCTCTCCTCTTCCAGCTGTCTGTTCCATGTTTCTATGCCTCTGATTCTATTTTGGTCATTCATTTGTGTTGTTAGATTCCTCTTAAAAGTGAGATCATATGGTATTTGTCTTTCATTGACTCACTTATTTCACTTAGCATAATAGTCTCCATTTTCATTCATACTGTCACAAAAGGTAAGAATTCCTACTTTTTTACTGCTGCATTGTGTAAATGTACCACAGCTTTTGATATACTCATCTACTATGAGCACTTAGGCTGTTTCCAGCACTTGGCTATTGTAAATTGCACTGCTATGAACATAGGGGTGCATATATTCTTTTGAATTGGTGTTTCAGGATTGTTGGGATATATTCCAAGAAGTGGAATTGCTGAGTCAAAAGGCAGATCCATTTTTAGTTTTTTGAGGAAACTCCATACTGTTTTCCACAGTGGCTACACCAATGTACATTCCCACCAACAGTGCACTAGGGTATTTTAACAGAAAGGAGTATTTATTTTATTTTTTTAAATTATTAAATGTTTGGGGTGACAGCGGTTTATAAATTTCTGGAGGTTTCAAGTGTAAAGTTCTATAAATATATCATTTTCATATTGCATTGTGTGGTCAAGTCTCCTTTCATTTTTTATTACTGACATTGTCTAGAGTTGCCTACACATGATGATAACAAAAAGCAGGCCGACTATTGGTCAGTTTTATTACTGTTTTTTGTGTTCCCTACAGACAGTGCACCTTCTTATTATCTGTATCTGGGATAAAATGCTTCTACAATACCTTGGATACTCTGGCTTCTCTTCAGATCATATAAATCTTTCACCTTTTCACAATACCCTGGAAATGCCATTGGCCTTAATTTTATATTACGAGTAAAAGTAATTCAAATTGCTGTATTGCTGTCAATTAAAATATATTCAAATTATCACTATCTTTACATTTTATAGGCCAGTGACTATTTCTCAAAGGCTTTGAAGTATGATCCAGAAAATGAATGTGCCACCATGAATCGAGCTATTGCAAATACATTATTAAAGAAGTATGAAGAAGCTAAAGAAGATTTTGCAAATGTAGTTGAAAGCTGTCCCTTTTGGGCTGCAGTGTATTTTAACAGAGCACAGTTCTACTGTTGTTTAAAGCAATATGAATTAGCCGAGAAAGACCTAAGTAAAGGTACTTTTTTTCAATGGTTTGGGGAAGATTACAGTGGTTGATGTATTTATCTTTAAATAACATACTTGTTTAAATAAAAAGAATAAACCCATCAGGTCTATTTGTCTAGATATGTGTATGTTAGAATGAATGTTTTTATACCTCATATTTTAATGTAATCAATATGGTTTCCTTTATGCAATAACTTACAGCATTGGTAAACTAAGATGCAGAAAATTATTAGGGAAACCATACACAAGTATTGCCAGCCTTTCAAAGAAAGACGTTGTACTATTTCCCCAATTTAATTTTCTTAGAAAGATTCAATATTTTAAATTTAAGTAAATAATTAGGTACATATGAAGAAAAATTTTTGCAAACACTTAATATTAATGTTGTTATAAAAATTTTATTTTTCAAAAAATGAGACTTTTAGAGCATTAGCATAAAACATATTTTGATTTTTTTTCTCTTACAGCTCTGTCTTTGAAGCCTAATGATGCTCTGATATACAATCTTAGAGCAGAAGTTCGTGGTAAAATGGGTGTGATTAAGGAAGCTATGGCTGACTATAACCAAGCCCTTGATCTTCAAGAATATGCCCAGTGATATGGCTACATAGACTGTGGTTTCTGCAGCAGCTTACACAACTGTTAAACCAGAAATTGAAGTGTATTCATTGTTTAAAACAAAGGTTGCACTATCTTCATTATTGTATTCATTATGTTTAGTCTTCTAATACAACCCTTTAATGCATTTTAACAACACTTATATTACTAAAATTTTAAAACATTTAGATCATTTCATGTGTATTTGAAACAACTGAATAATTGAATTTCTTCATAGGGAGCAGAATGTAAATGAGACTGTTTCTTAAGGAATATTAATACTTCAAGTATGTTCTTTAAAGTGAAATAATTCCTTTTGAAATAATACTGCATGATTGTAAAAACCTCAGCCTTTTTGCCAGTATCTACTCATAATGTATTCAACAGTATCCAACTTAAAAAAATAAATACTGAGCTGATAATTATAAACAATTAAAGTTACCCATATTTCTTTCTCCGTCTTTAAACAATGTCTATTCAAGCCTTTATTTTTCCTGCTACTCATATTCTTCCAACAGATTATATGTTCATTTTCTTCATGTTGTCTCCCTTCCAGGATAGTACCCATAGAGATTCTGAACATCTGGTTCCTTGAAATTGCTTCCTCTGCCTCTTTAATGTAAATTTATAGACATATATTTTTTAAAAATCTGCACGTACTTCTAATTAACACTTCGTAGAAGTTGACAAGGAAACATAAAGTAAAACAGCTAAAAATTCTTTGTAGGATATCTCTTTTATTATTAGTGCTACTTTGGTTGTTGTTTTTTAAAATTATATTTTATTGACTATGCTATTACAGTTGTCCTGATTTTCCCCTTTTTGCTCCCTCTCCACCCAGTACCACCCACTCCCTCAAGCAATCCCACACCATTATTCATGTCCATGGATCATGCATGTAAGTTCTTTAGTTACTCTCTGTCCTATAGTGTACTTTATGCCCCCATGGCTATTCTGTAACTACCTATTTGTACTTCTTAATTCCCTCACCTCTTCTGCCATTCCTGCACACACTCTTCCCATCTGGCACCCATCCAAATGCTCTCTGTAGCCATGATTCTGTCTCTGTTCTTGTTTGCTTAGTTTGTTTTTTAGATTCAATTGTTGATAGATTTGTATTTTTGCCATTTTATTCTTCATAGTTCGATCTTCTTTTTCTTAAATAAGTCCCTTTAACATCTCATATAATAATGTTCAGGAATGATGAATTCCTTCAGTTGTTTCATGCCTGGGAAGCTTTTTATCTGCCCTTCAATTCTAAATGATAGTTTTGCTGGATACAGCAATCTTGGCTGTAAGTCCCTGCTTTTCATGACTTTGAATATTTCTTGCCAAACTCTTCTAGCCTGCAAAGTTTCTTTAGAGAACTCAGTTGACAGTCTTATGGGAACTCCCCTGTAAGTAACTAACTTCTTTTCTCTTGCTGCTTTAAAGATTCTCTTTATCTTTAACTTTTGGCATTTTAATTATGATATGTCTTGGAGTGGGCCTCTTTGCATCCATTGTGTTTGGGACTCTCTGTGCTTCCTGGACTTGCATGTTGATTTCCTTCACCAAATTATGGGTGTTTTCTTTCATTATTTTTTCAAATAAATTTCCAATTTCTTGCTATTTTTCTTCTTCTTCTGGCACCCCTATGATGTGAATGTTGGACCTCTTGAAGTTGTTCCAGAGGCTGCTTATGTTGTCCTCATTTCTTTGGATTCTTTTTTCTTGTTCTGATTGATTGCTTTTTGCTTCTTTATGTTCCATATCATTGATTTGATTTTCAGTTTCATCCACTCTACTCTTGAATCCCTATAAATTGTTCTTTATTTCAATTAGTATATACTGAACTTAATAATATTGTTGTGGAAAATCCACCCACACGCGGGGAGATAATGAAGCACAAACTTTATTACCCGGGGGCCCAGAGGGGGTGGCTAACATCCAAATCCTCTGAGCCCCGATCCTCACTCTCCCGGGGTTTAAATAGTCCCGGGCTTCCTACTTACGTGGCGAAGCAAGGTTACAGAAGCCGAATGCAGAAGTTAGGTCTAGCTACCTTATATGGGAGACAAAGAGACGACTCAGGAGGAATTTGCAGAAGCTACAGAGCACAGGAGCTTATCATGGGAGTCTGTGTACGACCTTGAGTAACTGGCCGTTGCTTTGGTTACGACTTGTCAGCTTCTACAGTCCTGTGTGAAACTTTGCAAGTGTTACAGTTATAGAGCATAAGAAACTTTTGGAGTTTTCTTTTCCTGCCACAATATAGTGTATAGTCATTTCTGACTGGATCTTTTTTATGCTATTGAGGTTCTCCCTAAGTCCCTTGAGCATCCTTATAACCAGTATTTGGAACTTTGCATCTGATCAATTGCTTATCTCCATTTTGCTTAGCTCTTTTTCTGGAGTTTTGATCTGTTCTTTCATTTGGACCATGTTTCTTTGTCTCCTCATTTTGACAGCCTCCCTGTGTTTGTTCCTATGTATTAGGTGGAGCTGCTATGACTCCGTGTCTTGGTAGCATGGCCTAATGTAGTAAGTGTCTTATAGGATCCAGTGGCATAACCTCCCCTATCACCTAAGCTGGGTACTCAAGGTGCACCCTTTGTATGGGCTGAGTACACCCTTCTCTTGTATTTGAGCCTTGGTTGCTGTTGGCAGATCAATGAGAGGGATTTACCCAGGCCAGTCAGCTTCAACAATTGGCCATGATCACTTAACCACCAGCCTTTGCCCTCAGTGGAGGATCAGCAATGCAGGGGCAGATTGGTGATGTTCCCATGTGGTCTGTACTGTCCCCTGGGTGCGCTGGCCCTGGGGTTTCCTTAGGTGGTGCAGGCCAGGGTCAGTCCTCATCTGTGTTTTACCTGAGGCCACTCTACCTAAGCTATAAAGCAAGCTGAGATGGCTGCTACTCATGCTGGGCTTGGAGAATCTCAGGCAAAGCCAAGCTGTGAATCTAGGCTGGCAGCTATTACTGCCAGGCCTGGGGCTCACTGAGACCAGCTATTGCTTGTTTGAGAGGATTTAAGAAGTTGTGCAGCATGAGCCAAAACCAGCCATTGACACAGGAAAGCAGCTTGGGTGGTCCCATAAATTGGGTGGGGCAGAGTCTCTGAAGATCTCCAAGGCAGAACAAATACTGCTAGCCAGGTTGATGGAGTCTCAGGTATGGCACCAACTGACTGTCTCTGTGGGTTTAGAAAAGGAACAATGGCCTTTGCTGACTTTGATGCCAGACACTTCAGTTTCTCCCCTTATGCCACTGGTGCCTTTCAAGCTACTACCCCAGTGGTGGAGCTCAGACGGAGTGAGTATGAGTAGGTGAGTCTGTGTGTGGGTTCTTTAAGAGGAACTGCTTGGGACTCTCAACAGTTTTTTCCACCAACTCAATCCCTGCTGGTGTTTGTAGCCAACAGTTGTGGAGACTTATCTTCCTGGTACTGGAACCCTGGACTGGGGGCCTGGTGTGGGGTTGGGCTCCTTGCTCTCAAGATATCTCTCCTTAATTTATATCCACCACATGTGAGTGAGGAAACAGCCCATTCCGTGTCTGCACCCCTCCTGCCAGTCTGGATGGATGTGGTTTCATTAATCCCATAGTTGTCAGACTTCTATTCAACTTGATTTCTGATGGTTCAGAGTGATGGCTGTTGTATATTTTAGTTGTAATTTTGATATATGGTTGTGCAAAGATGTGAACCATGTCTGCCTACACTGCCATCTTGACTGGAAGTCCTCTAGAATATCTGTTGAGTGGACCAGAGAACCCCTTTTCCTTTATCTCACTGATAGTAACAAGGTCTCCTAACTTTTAATTCATTCAGACTTGCTTCACTCAATTTATTTTCCTTCTTAGTTTCATTCTCCCAGTACCTATCCAGCTCCTCAGAGACCCATTTTCACCAAGATCAGGCATTATAGGCAAAAAGAAAAACCTTTGTCCACTTAGCTCCCTTTGATTTTAGTTTGACATGCCAGATTTTCACAGGGGAAAGTGGATTTTCATTTGTAAGGCACTGTGGTAAGGCTTCACACTGTTGAGTAAATTTTCTTGGCATGATATGTGGGTCCACTCGAGGATAAGGTCATCATTAGTGAGTTATTTCAAATGGTGAATCAGACACATGTTTAATAAGCTGCTTAGATTATTCTCTCTCAGTCACCTGCAGACTCTTTAGTCCCAACCCCAGCCACAGATGAGATTCAGACCAACCTCATGCACCCACAGCCAGCCCCTCACCTGATGCACAGCCACACCTCTCTCACCTGTTGGCCTGGGCATCGCTCAGTGCTGAGGCATGGGGTGCTGTGGAATTCTCTCAGTGCCCAGCCACATGCTCTGTGGGTGTGCAGCAGAACTAAGTCCCTGCCAAGTGAACTTGATGGCGGGAGAAAGGAACTAACAGATAGACTCTTCTTCCCTGCATCTCTGGTGGAGTTTCCTGAGACAGCTTCCTGCAGAATAGTGCTGGGAGGATATGCAATCAGTTTGCACTTACTGGTGGACAGTTTCAAAACTTGCCTTCTATTAGTGCTTCTTTCTTTCCTGCTTTGTTCCCTTTTGTTACCCTTCCTGGTTTCCTGGGTTTGCATTTCTTGATAAAGTCACAGCACAGATGCATTTGCCTGCAGCTGTGCTCTCTATGAAACGAAACGCAAGTTCCACCTGCTTGCCCCAAAAAGCCAAACTTGTGACACAGGTGCTCATGAGAAGGAAAGTGGTTTATTTGGGTGCCAGTGACTTGAGAAGATTCATGTCCTCAAAAATCCATCTTAACATCTCAGTGCAGGCAGAGGTTTTTATAGGGAAGGAGAGGGAAAGCGAAACAAAGAGATCCTGGGGAGAGACTGTGGACATGAAAGCAGTGTCCTTGCTGGTCCTGATATGGTCAGTGCCAGCCAAGTCTCAGCAGTTGGAGGATGTGCATCAACCGAAGTCATGGTCAAGGCTGTTTCCTGTACAGGCAGGAACAGGAACTGCTGATGCCTGCAATATGCTTTTAAAGAAACTGTCAATATGTGCGTTATTTTTATCAGTTTGTTAGTACATTTTATTCTAATTCTATTTCATGGAAAGTCAGAGTAGTGTAAAGTTTTTATGCCATGTTTCATCTGGGACAACCCTAACCCCTCAGCTGCCCACTATAAAACCTCCTCCATACACATCTGCTAGCTTTCCCCTCCACCGCCTCACTCCCTGCTTCCTCACCCCAACCAAGGAAGAGGCACAGAAGCTGGATCCTGAGCAGCATGAAGGCCCATGGGCAGGAGTGTTGAACAGTAAGGTCTTCTGTGTAGACTGGTGTCAGGACAGAGGGACAGCAGTGGAAAAGTAAAAAAGCATGTTTAGAGACTGGCTGGGGCAGAGTTTTTGTGGGGAAATGGGTGGAAAACATGGTCATGTA